GTCTTGTTATATATCAGATGAAATACATTAGTTCTTATTTTCATTATGTTCAAATATTGCATGACATTAAAACAGGTTAATTCTCAGGTTGAAGTCATTGACTGCCATATGAATAATGAACAAAAGTCAGGAGGAGAGTCTAACTGAGTAGAAAGCATGCAAGAATTATACGCTAACTGAAATGTACTACACTTGTATGAAAGTTAATTTAATCTTGGCAATCCAGTATTTCATAATCCATACACATTTTGATTTGTGTTATTCCTAAATATGAAAGTTTATTGAGCTGTTAGCTTGTCAGAGGAATTTTCTCCCTGGATAAATTTAAAGAACACAACTCAAATTGCAAGAGAAACAATACTGTTATTTCTTTACATATCTAAAGAATTACACCCTGAATAGGTTAGACTATGTATAGATCTTGGTAAGTTATATTTGTAAACATTAGTAATTTTAAACTACAAATATGTGAGTTCTATATCGAAAACAGAAATAACTTCCTAATGTACTCTCAATCCATGAAAATGTCATGACTGAACACTTAGTTTTCTGTATTGTTATGTAAAGTACAAGAATAGAAAAATTCGATTTTTACTGACTGTTATATCTAGTGACACAAAATCCATTATTTACTGTTAAGCTTATTTTAGGTGTAAAGTATATTATGTAATGATAAATATTGTGCAATAAACGTGATTGATTTATAAAATGTCATAGAAAAGATGTCTTTTCTTGTAGAACATATCTTTTATTGTAAGAAATAACAAAATTAAAATATTTTGTTAAGAACTTTATTATTGTTATTACAGTTATTTTACATATTTTGTTATAAAAATCTTCAAAGGTAGGATGCATACACACTATTTTAGATAAATCCTCAATAAAGTTGTCGTTTTCTTACTTGAAGTTTTGTAAATATATGATTCAACATGTGTGATATTTGATAAATCTGTAATTTAACTTATATATAGTAATGATCGCAGCTTCAAACACATTGGGCTATGATGAAACATTAATTTTATATAAGAAGTATAAATGGAGGTTTGTATTAAATGTTCAAAGATATTTGTTAGAAGCTGATATTCATGGGGTGTAATTTGTCATAAAAGACTAAGTTAGACACATAATTATCTTGCATTTGATTTCTAATCTGAATAGAGTAAAATTAAGTTACCTTTTGTTAGTGAATTATCAACTTAAGGTGAGTCTAAGTTATAATTTCCGAATACTTCTAGACTCATCCTCTCTCAACTTTTGACTGATTGTTGCATGTCAGGCACAGTTCAATCTTACTAAGCAGTGAGCGTAAAATGTTTTTATTGTAAAGTACAATGAACTCTGTGAAATACAACAATTGTACCATAACTTTTCATTTATAAACTATATGAAATCTTACATACTGGATTGAATAGAACAAGTAGTAATATTGACATAATGTACAACAGTTGTATGAAAGCTAATTTAAATGAGACAATCCAATATTTTACAAACTAAGATATTTATTTAAATAGTATATTAGTGTATCTTGAAGGTTTCTGAATAAATGTTTCAGTATGTATTATAACAGTCTTATTCAGAGATTGTGATTTTACTTACATACATTGATGATAGCATATCTACGTGGAGACTTGTAATCGGTGGTTAAACATATTTGTTGAAATGTGGATAATCAGTTCATGGAGTCTAGTTGAATAGTAAGTATACAAGAATTATACATTAATTGAAAGATACATATTTAACCTGTCCTGTCAAATCTTGAGTAATAGAATATTATGAATACACATTTAGTGTTTTGTATCACTATGTAAAGTAAAAGAAGCAATAAACTATGTTTACTGACTTTTAAATTCAGTGACATATAAAAGCTGATGATCACTAGATAAGTTAAAGTATGGTAAACATTAAATTTATAAATTACTATTTTTGAATTTATGTAGAAAATATATGATTATGCAGAAGTTGAACAATTTATTTTCAATATTAAGTATAATGTAAATATATGTATGAGATTTATATTTTAGTGATGAATATATAATCATAAATAGCAACATGTAAAAGGTATTCTAATTGACTTGTTTAACTTTTGTTTTCACAATTTTTTAGTCATATTTAACTTTTAATTCTATTAGTCCCTTCTCTTAGTAAAAGGTCGACATACCATCAAATGTGATGAGTCGGACTAAATATCTAATATATATATAAGGGGTTATGCTATAATATTTGCCTCATTCAAGTAATGGATAAATTAAGATACTATGTGTAATAGAAACTGACAGATGTAATACACTATATTATAATAATTGTCTCATTAAAATATTGTTTTACTTATATTCAACACTATCATGACATGTGCAAGTTAATTATTAACTGAAAACACAATCAGTTATACTGTCTTTTTCAAATAATAGTTTTACTTTTAGGACATATAACTAAATATAGACGATGATGACATAATCACATGTTGAGACATGTTGATCAACATTACCCTTTAGTGGGTCGTTTGCAGACTATCTACAATGATGACCTTATCATCCTACCCACTCTTCTATTAACGCGCCCTCTGGTTCCACCTCGTGGAACTATGACCCATATCAATGCGCTCTCTGGCCGTAGACAACTTCTGTCATCAAGTGTCACGGTGGCAGACAACTTTTGCTTGTCAAGTGTCACAGCGGCATGACAACTTCCACCAGCCAAGTGCTGTGCTAACTACTCACGGGTATGTAAACCCGATTTTTAGCATCGTAAATATGCAGACTTACCAGAGAGTTACTATGGGGGCTGTAATTTTAAAAACGACCAGCTTATGTGATTATCCATACTATTTAAATAACTTAAAATTCATCGATAATGACTTGATCAGGTTTCACTGTATGAGTTAATTTAATCCTATTGTAATTGATTAACTACAAACATTTTATATGTTTACTAGTGTGAGACAGTTTGTTGAGACTAGTGTACTTATCCCTATAAAGTTTCAACGTTTTCTAACTTTCACACTCAGTGTTAATTGTTTCGAAAGTTAAACTACTTGGGATACAGACTTAGAGTTTACTTTTCCAAGTGAAATCCATGTCATGAGACACAGTATATTATGTAGATTGTCTCCTTTGACATAAGACACTTATTATATGTACATGCTTGGTTAGGATTTTAAAAGTGTTGAATAAACAATGAAAAAACCTGTGAAAACATAGAAATGTTTAAAATGTGTATAATTTGTTGGTAATGAATTACAGTTATTTCTGTATAACTAAGTGATATAGTTTTGACCTACCTTTTGGTATATTCCTCAAACTAGTACCAAGTGTTAAGTCACGATTTCGTACTTAATCTTAGGGTACAGTCATGCGGTTTGCCATTGTCTTCAATAGCAAGATTGAATATAGTTTTCAGGCATATGCTTTCGCAATACTAGGAACAAACCACGATGGACTATGCAACAGACAAACTATTACGTTAGGGAAAATTTTGATTGCATACGCATTACAGTTTATACAATGGTAAATAAAAAAACCTAAAGTCTAAATTTATTAGGAAAAACAAATAGTGCTAAGCTTTGCTTTTTTCACGAAAGTGTATAAAAATGTAAAACTATACCATGATATCTTGCACACTTAAAAACCACATGGAGCTCTAATGGATGATGTGCTCCATTAATGATGTATCTGACTTGAGGACGTATTACCCAGAATTGAAGCTCACATCTGGTGACGATATTTGTTACCTGTTGTTAGTGGTCTTAATATTACATGGACTCAAAAGTTTAAAACGCGCGCATAAGATTGCAAACAATATAGTAGTGAAAACAAATAATCATATCTATCCAAGCAATTTCGAGAGATGGATCTTCTTTCTTCAGTGGTGAAGGGATTGAAAAGGAAATCTTCCAAAAGTGTTCAGATTTAGAGTTTTCTCTTTTATTTTCATTACAATTTTTTTTTCTATGATTTATCTTCAAGGCCCAGATTCAACATCAGTACACCTTATACGTATATTATTTTGTTATGAATTATTTGCGCGCTCATTTTACTATAATGCTAGACGTATTTAGCACATTTGACATATGATTTCCCATTGCTTATTTCGAATTTAATTTGGTACTAACTGTTAACTAACTAAGCATGAAGGATATTCGTTTTTTCATGACTGATACGCGAGCTCACTGGATGTAGACTCAGGAGAATCAAACCTGATATGTTTCTTGGGCACGTGGCACTGACTATGCCTATGTATATACTTTTTTATGATTCATTTTATAAGTTTACGTTGGTTCAGCCTACGAACTTGAGATTTGCACCAAATTTGCTACTGACGTACGTTTGTTTGTTGGTTATTTTAGAGCAAAACCACAGTAGGATATCTGCTGTTTTCACCGCGTGAAATCGAACCTCAGATTTCAGCGTGGTAAGTCTGTACATTTACCGCTGTTCCACCAGAGTACGACGCATGTTTCGTCTTTTGTGAATTCATTGTTGTTTGCTCTTTTATAACTGCACGTTTCAGAAGCTGTGACAGTGAACATCAGCAAGAGTAAACTTCGGGCATTTTTCTATTTAACTTAAATCTGTGATTTGATATTATCTTCCTCAAAACATTGCAATATTTCATTAATATTGGCTATTTTTTATTGTACAGGATTTATAATTTTATGAATACTTGCTCTGGAAAAATATTCCATTAATAAAAATACTGTACTACGTTACCATTATCACGATTAAAAAATACTGCAATATATCTATGTGTAATTCAATGCTTAAGTTCTCACGCTTCTTTTCCTGCATTCTTCCGGGACCACGTGAGTTGTTACGTAGTTATGACGTTAAGATTATAATTCATTAATCATCATTGTGTGTATAAGAAGTAAAGAAGTTTTCTCAGTCTTTTACTTGGTATTGTTACATTACTTTTTTCCATGTGTTACATTGTTTGATTTGTAAGTGCAACGTTTAATAATTAAACATAATAATGGAATCCAATAAAATTTGTAGAAGGAAAAAGTACGATAAATCAACGGATATCTCAGTGATCCAGAATCAACGGCTAAAACGTATGGAAGGTAAAACAATTTGAAATAGCCTATTACGTTAAGAATTTGTCAGTAACGCGCACCTTTGACGGTTAATATAAGATATTTAAAAGAATCATCGAAACACTGGTTCCTTAGCATGCATATCTTCTTATCTGTAGTTTCATGTTTAGAGTACGTCAGTATTTCTGTACGAATGTTGAAATTAAATGACTATTTTGTGTCTAATGAGATATTTTTAGTCTCTAAGCCCACTGATGCACCAGTATTTCTTATTTCTTATACAAGCAATATTATTTTTACATAAGACAAGTTTGTTTATTGTTAAAAAACGGTCGCTATCCAGTGGACCACGAGGTTAAAATACCTCTTCTGATTACTTCGTGATTAATAATGCTTTGATATGCAGAATATAGTTGTTTTGTTAAACTATAATCAACAACACCTAGCGTTATATATATCTTACTGAATAAATAAAAAAAATCCAATTGTCCCCCCACTATAGCCCTCAGATTGGTTTTTACTTATCTACAAACTACAACGATTTAAAAAGTTAAGACCATATTTTTACGATAAATATAAAAGTTTTAAGCTACATTGAGCTTATCTTTTTAAGGCTTTCAAGGGTTACAGATTTTGACGTCTTAGATATTGAGTTTTGTAAACTATAGAACACTGTGAAATTGTGAAATTCTTTTCAACCGTTTAAAAACGTCAGTTTTAAGGATTGACGAACGGAATGTTTAAACTTACAATTCCTAATACCACCCGATGGCTTAGCAGTAAAACTCATGGCTCATAATGCTAAAATCGGGTTTCAGTACCCACGCTGAGCAGAACACTGTTAGTTACGTGTAGCTTTATGCTTAAAAAACTAACAATTTCTGAAAATTATCATTAGATGTTGAAAATATATCTTAAAAATACCCTTGAATTGTTTAGATGTTAAATTTTCACGAATTATTGTTCAAATGTACTTAGTTCTGATTTGATTTTCTAAAAATACCTTTAAGATAATAAAAAACTACATGTTTTGTTTTCTAGTAATACCTGAGACCTTTCATATGTTTCAAAAACAGACTGTATAGGGAAACTCTACCAAGTCCTTAAAAACTAAACATTATCGGACTGCCCATTAATTATTTAAAGTTTAGACTTTCTAAGAATGCCTTACAGACGTATATATCTTTCTTACATAGACCACCAGATGCTGAGAGTCTAAAGTAATAATTCAACTTTTTTATTGTTGTGAAATGATTTAAAATGTCAAATATAAGAGTAAATAACGTATCACAATAGTACCTTATTTTATTTTTATGTAGTAAAGTTTTAAAATGTTCTAAAAAGAGGTTTGGTATATAAGTTATCAATAGCTATACTCATAATAAGAATTGAATAAGAAGCTAAGGATAATGAAAATATAGCAATTTCTCAAAGATGATCTATAGTTACTCCTGTAAAATAAAGAAATACAAAAACATATACAGTTGTTGGTGGTCATAGGATGGGGGATAGTACATTTAATAAATAGATGATATACAGGTTTTGGCGGCCATATCATGGGGGATAATACATTTAATAAATAGACGATATACAGTTTTTGGCGGTCATAGCATGTGGGATAATACATTTTATAAATAGACGATATACAGTTTTTGGCGGTCATAGCATGGGGGATAATACATTTAATAAATAGATGATATACAGTTTTTGGTATCTACATTGATATATATTAAACCCAAGCTTTTAACAGCTCTACTGTAGTTATGTGAGGCTAAACTGAATGTATATTCAAATAACTATTTACACCATTGGTTCCTCAACCTTTTGATGCCGCGTGCCTCCAGCCAGACCTTTAAACCACCGATTTCTCCCTTATGCATATAACTTGTTAAAAACAACAATTTTATTTCAGTAAAAAGGTAAATTCCAATAAATGATTTAAGGATTAGTCAATATTACCTCAAAACTTCCAGAGAATGCCCCCAGTTTTAAGGTGAAAAGTATATTTTCTTTTTTTTTAATGTTTTTCAAAGGTTCTCGCATTCCTCTAGAAACATCTTTGCGTACCCCAGGGGTATACATACAGGGTATATGTATGTCTATATAAACATATACAGATGTGTGTGTATGTGCGTATTTATACATGTACATATTTATTTAGAATGAGGAAAACTGATAATCAACAATATCGATGACATACGTTGCATAATTATGAGGATACAATTTCACACAACTTTAACTAAGTAGAACTGAATATTCAACAAAGGAAAGTTAAGGAAAGCAGTAAAAAGAAAAGAAAAAAAAGATGACTTTTGTTGGATAACAATATTTTTGAATACCAAAAGTTACTTGAGAAAAAATATATGTATATCAAGAACGTTGTAAAATAATTTGACAAAGATTATCGCAAAACGTTGAAAACTATTATGTTTTGATGTTACAGTGTTCTCTGTTCGTTTTGATACCCGTACTTGATTCAATCTTCAACTTTCTTATCATCAGCTGCCATAGCATTATCTTATGATGTAAATGTTTACGTGTAGAAAAACCATGGTTTTATTCCATATAATCAAATGGTCACATTCACTTCTTGTTATTCATGTAACTGTTGCTGCAAACATTAGTAATGTGAAATAACATTATTAAAAATCCTCATTATTCATTTGTTTTTATTCCTGTTGTTTCTTTTTAAAACATTCAGTTCTTCCTTAAATTGATTTCTGCCAGAATTGTATCATATCAATATTTCAGTTATGTTTGGTTTGTTTATTTTAGAGCAAAGCCAAATTGGTCTTTCTACTGTGTCCATTGCGGGGAATCAAACCCCGGATTTTAGCGTTGTAATTCCCTGAACTTAGCGCTGTTCCAACGGGGAAAATTTCTCTTATGTCACTGGTATTATTGGTTATCACGTCATCTCATTACTGCTACAATACATATATATGTACTTATTCTGAAGAATGTACGAGATTCATAAATGTTCTCTTTCATTTTTGGTGTTGTCTAAAGAAGTTTCAGAAGTTTGATATGTTTAGTTTGACAAAAGCGGCAATACAGTAGCTGAAAGCTTACGTTTAATAAATATCAGCGTGGATTGAAAAACAAAAGAGTTATGGCTGTCTAACTGTCGCCTACTTGTTGAAAATTACGATAATCCTTTAAAATAATATACTAGGTGCTATTAATGAACACATATTCAATATTTAATAAACTTGTGATATGAAACAGACATGGATTTTTAACAATTCAGTCTGTAAATGAATATTCTCGCTGTATATAAAAGTTAGGATGTGGAATATTGAAGAACACAACGAATATTTCGCGGAAACTATTCTTCGTCCGTTTGATCTACTTCCGGCGGAAGAACTTTGAAACTTCCAGGCTATTTTCACCCGTACATATTCAGAATGCACGTGTGTAGCTACCAATACTGAGAAGAAAGTAACGATGCATTTTCCAACTAATATTAATAAAAATAAATTTAGACCATATTAGTGGAATACAATAACGATTATAAAAATCATTTAACCTTCAGATGCATTTTTATCACAATATTAGACCTATTGAATTATACTTTTACTGGATTTAGGTCTTTACTGTAATAAAAATTACGTTTAAAATATTGCTCAAAACGAGGTAACACGTATATGTATATTTTAATTGACTCAAATGCTCTCTATTAAAAACAAAAGTCAGGTTTTATATCAGTCGGACTAACAATAGCATCATTGCATAACCGTTGTCATCAATAACTAATTTTTTATAGTAATAACCTACTAGATAAGTTCCAGTTCTTATGTCACAGGTAAGTAGTTTCTCATTTATCCTTCCATAACATCTTATATTAATATTAGATACAAGGGCTATGAAACCTAAGACTTTGAGAAAACACGACTTAATCTTTTGTAGGAAAATGTATACCCCCCCCCCCACACGCACATATGGAACTTTCTAGATGTCTAGTATTTTTTGTTCCATCCCAAACTTACTATTCTGAAGTTCAATGATGGTAGTTTAGTTTCAATTCCTCAATTTTATGATTTGAGTCTCACTGATAATTAGTTGATTTCAATAACCTTATTGTAGCCATCTCTGAATATGCTAGTTGAATGATTTTTGTACTGATTTGAAGCTCAATGTTAATCAAGTTATTTTCTGTTCTATATGCAGTGAAGTTTGCTGATGGCTGTTTAACTTGTAATCTACCAACCCAATAATTCTAAGCTCGCTGATGGTTAGATACTTTCAGTAACTTGATCTTATCATTCTTCTACCCACTGATACAAAGCTAACTGGTTGAAGTAACATTTAATCTTTTAATTCTGCCTCAAGTTAATGGAAGTAAGTTGGTTTTACCTATCCCTCAACTTACTGCTATAAAGTTACCTTTTGGTGAGTTGGTTTTTACTCTTTCTTCAACTTTCGGGTCTAAAAACAACTTATGCTAAACTGTTTATCACCTGTTCCTTAATTTACTGATCTAAAAGTAGATTGGTGGTTTTTTTTTTACCCATTCCTAAATATACTGTCGGATTAACAGTACTAGACTGGATGGACAAGGTTCTAAAATTACTCACCTCTGTGAATATATATCTCACAACTAATGGAGAGTGAATTATAGGAAGATAGTAGTTATAGGATTTGTTACATGGAGAATTACAAGTTTGAACTTTGATAACTATATCTTTTTAGATTTAACTGTTTTAGAGACACCATTAACACTTTTAAGGATGCATCCTATATTATCTTCCTTAAAAAATAAATCGTTTGTGTTCAATTTAAGTTAATGTCTACACGAAATAAATTACAAGTTTTGAAAATATTTTATTACGACATAAGATAAAACTAGTACGTATTTTATGTTCTTTAAAATTCAATGATTTTTCACTATTGTTTTGAAATAAGAAAAGTAAAGTTGAGTAAAACAATGAGTTATTTGGTTATTTCAATACTAAGATATCACGTTTTTGGTTAAAATTTATGTGTATTTTATGTTTCAAATAGTAGATAATCAGGTACTTAATTTTTGAGTTATATTTGTAGAGATATGCCCTTTATAAATGATATCCAGAGATCTGAGTGAACATGAAAATCGGAGTTATCTTGATAATTTTTTTCTCATTAAACAATTCCGTGTGACTCAGGGGTAAGTTCGCGGATTTACAACGATGTAATCAGTAGTTTTATTATTCATGGTGGACAGAGCGCAGATAGCACATTATGCAACATTGCGCTTAGAAACAAATTAATTAAATATTAAGTCTTGAACTAATACCATCTATTGGAACTTTACCATACTAGGCTATATCATTTCTTTAGGTATTTCTTACTTGTGAACAGGAACAGACACTTACGAAACTTCCTGACTTCCTTAATCTTTCTGAATACATATACATGGACATAAGATAACGTAGAATAATATATAAACGTGTTTACAAACAAAATTTTCGTTTGTTTCAAGTAATTCTTAACAATTTTTGATAAGCAATTTTGTAAAGAATAAAACTAAAATTGTACGAAGATATAAATATGAAATGATAATGTTTTCTATTTCATTACAATAGATGTATCTTTCAATCAAGAGTGAGTTTTGAAACGACTTCTTTGTAATTTACTTGTTTGTTTATTAGAAACATTTAGTTATTTGTTTTTTAATGTAATGGGCTATCTGCTTTCTCTACCAGGGAGAGTCGAGCTTCATGTTAGCAATATATATATATATATATATTAAGCGAAAGATTACATTTTTTCATTTACTACTAAGCAGATCTTTAAAATAGATAGAATAAATATATTTTTTGTGGTAGTCAGTTTCATAAATACATATACTACATCGCTTTACTTCTGTTTGATAAACAGTTCTTTAACCGAATATAATTGGTCGCCCTCTTTATTGTTCTATGATAGCCAGGTATCGATAGGTTTTTGCTGTTGTTTTTATGTGATAGCCAATTATTTAAGTAAAGTATGTTTTATAAATACTTGCTTCTCTTCTCACAATAAAACTTTAAAGAAAACAAAAACATGTAGACTCAAACTACATTTCTTCTCATTTCGAAGTTGTGAGTTTGTATCTTGTTTATTACACTAGAATAATTTTTTTGTTTGTTCTTGAATTTTGTGTAAAACTACTCGATGGATGTGATAGCCGTTTCTGTTTTGGTAGTGACAGGCTAGAGAGGGTGTACTTAGTCAACATTACTGACCGCCAACTCTTGGGTTATTTATGACTAACGAATTGGAGGACCATCAGATTATAACGCCTTCCTGCCTGAAAGGCAACGAGTTTCGATCCCACGACCCTCAAATTGCGTGTCGATCGTCCTAACCAGCATGCCAGGCCTCCAATAACATTTAAACTCAGCCTGCAAATTGAATTGAATCGCGATTTGTTAAAATTGAACTTAATTTTTTATGAATATATAAAACCTGATAATTTTATTTTGTGATTTAATAAAACTTGAATCATTGTCCTGTACTGACATCTCCCCAATTTACTCATTGTCTTATAAAACTTTTGTGTTACTTAACTGGCAGACGTTTGAATAAATAATTAATATAATGTAAGAACAAAAAATATGTAGCACATAGCACGAATGCTACGGAAGTTAATATCATTATATCATACAAGATATAGTTAACATATGAATATTTATACAATATAAAATCAATTATCTGTTCCAATATTTGATATTAGATGCGATGGTAATTTAGGATTTTAGAATTGAAATATTATCCATTTGTGAGGTAAATGACATAAGCAAAAGTATAGATGGCAAAACTGTTTTATTTGTAAAAAACAGTGTATTAACGGACATGTGTCCTCATTTGAAGAGAATGATGAATATGACTGTCACAGAATTTCCTTTAAAAAATATTTAACCTATGAACTATCATTAGATTACCTCTCGGGAGATTTTACGTGATTACTATCATAATATTATACTTCTCCTGACGGAACAACTAGGAGAGTTATTTGTTTGTTAGTAATTTCGTACAAAGCTCCTAGAGGCAAGCTAGCTAGTTAAAATACTCACCGCCCACTCTTGGGCTACTATTGTCTGACTGAATAGTAGATTTAACCTTTACTCTTATAAAGCACCTATGGCTCCAAATGCGGAATAAATTTTAGAGCATTGAGACACGAACCGTGAATTATCGGATTCAAAGATCGGTCATGCTAACCACTAGAGCCACACCTGACATGATAGAAAGAAAAAATGTACATGTTTTTATTAAGATCGAAATTTATTTATATTGAAAACAAATTTTTGAGAGCATTAATTATGGCCGTTTTTCTCATTATGCTTTTTAGTTTTGCTGTTAGCCTGTAGATGGCGATATATATATATACCAAAATATTATTGTCTTCTTGCAAAACTCGAATTCCCTCCTCGTAATCATAATATTGTGGAAAATGTGTTAAACTTTTTGAATATTAATCACCGTTCACTTATTTTCATAACTATACAGTGATCATTGTATTAAAAACAGCTTAAATATTGTCAAAAGAAGCGATTATGTTTTTACCCAAGTAACAAGACAAAGCTAAAATAGATTGCTGGTCCTAGAGTGATCATCTTCCATTCAAGAATTACTCATTAATCTACTAAATAATTAAAACATTTGTTCCCACAATCTTTTAAGTACACCTTATTTTTTTACACAAGTACGTATTTCAACATATGCTTTATTTTTTCTGAAAGGAACAAGTCGGTCGACATCTTTTTCTCAAAGAAAAGGAACATCAACTTCACAAACAAAGAAGAAACCTCCAGAAGAAAACAAGTGTAGGTGGATTTTCACAAATACATGTATATATTATCCCTCGAATTGTATGATAACTTTCACCTAATGAATGGCTCAATGGTAAGTCTGAGGCCTTGAGCTTAACAATTACAAACAAACACTCCTAATAATAATATATTTTAAACGTTCAGTGGAAAAGAGAATTGATATAAAAAAGTGATAGCACGAGGAAGAGGAAAATCACATTCATGTTATTGTTTAGAAATATAAAAATATAGACTAGATAAAGTAAATATCATTGCTTCTTTTGTGTTGATTAATCAAGATAATATTGAAAATTACATCTTAAGATATTAAAGTGTATTAGGTGGCAACGTTAAGGTTGATAAGAATGACACAGGAATATTTTGTAAAATGTGACACATATTTTTTCAACTTTATTGGGCTTGACCACGGTCTACGGTCAGCATGCTGGATTGTGAATTTGAAAATTGAAACTCCACCTCCTGTTGCTGATAAAAAAAGAAAATGAAAAAAAGGGGCTTTGCTATTTGGGACACAGGTACCCTAAAAGAGTGACTGTAAACGCTCCTATTCGATCAGAGCTCGAAATTAAGGAGGGCTAGCGAAACTAACTCTTGTTTAGCTTTGCGCCAATTTCCGAACCAAATGAAACCATTTTTATTGTAGCTAAATTTACAGTTAAATTAATTTTCGTCCACGTTAAACTAGTTTCAAAGAATTCCACTCCTCATCAGTGACCCTGGACACTACCACCAATAAAATATCAGACCAAATCAAGCCTTTATAGTAGTGAGGTATTGAAATGGTGTATTTAAGTGTTTGACACTCACAAAAACTAGTCTGGTTCACAGACACACCCTCAATGAAAGAATAGACAATTCCAAGCTTTTACTTGTTGTTAAACAAATATTTAAACAACTCTATTCAATAATAAAACTCCTGATGGTTATTGGTTTTATGCTGATGAAACTTAAAATTAAATATATTTGTTATCAGATTGCGTCATTTTTTATTTGTCTGCTTACTGGAAATGCTACCGATAGAGTAAATATATCAAAATTTTTTGAAGTCTCATTTTAAAGTGTATTCGATTTTTTAAATTATTTGAAGATAGAATTCATCACGATACTCTTTTTTATAATTATGTTGGAATAACTAATTATAGTGTCAGTCAATCAAGTTTTTCTTGATAATATATGAGCTTGTACTGAAAAGGTATCTTGTAGGTGATTGGACATTAATCTAGAAAACATGCAGTTTAGATATTAAAATAATTTTTGTGCAGGTATTGGTTATTTATTACTTCATGAAGATTTAATGACCAATTCCAAAGTGTAATCGAATGGAACTAATTGCTGGTGATTTTTTTTATTATTCTTTAACTAAGGATATGAATCTTTGGAGCATTTATATTTACATGTATTGATACTGAAAGATGTGTAGATTTCTGTGAAACTTTCTTTTGAAATGACTCTTGGTCAAATTTTGGATGCTAGTTTTTTTTCTATAAGAAAATTTACCAATTTTTTAACACACCGAACAAGAGTCGACCTCTTATAATATCTAACTATATATAATTTCTTTTGATAAAAATATCATTTACACATCTTACAAAATAATTCATTGTGGTAAACTTAAATTATTATATTTTGGCGCCAAAGTTGAAAAAAATTGCACTAAACTGCTTTATGATCAGTATGATTCCATTACTTTTTGAGCCCCCATTGGCACAGCGGTATGCCTGCGGACATACAACGCTATAAACCGGGTTTCGATACCCGTGGTGGCCAGAGCACAGATAGCCCATTATGCATCTTTGTGCTTAAGCAAACCATTACTTTTGGACCCGATCCTTATTTTTTTACCTTCTTAGAGCATAGTTTTATTACTTTATTTCGCATGGTTGAAGGATTAACAAAAGTTCCCCATTAAGAAATAAGCTTCAAGCGTATACTAGGTTAGTGGTATGACCACTCCAACAAGCTCCCTTTGCTTTTGTTGTTATTTCACCATCATGGCCTCATACGCCGCGCTGTTGACGTGAAGCAGCATGATCTCAAGTTTTTCGCCATTTTGCTAGGGTTCAATGCCAAATTAAGCTTTTTATAAGAAAAGAGTGTTTAAGTTAACAATGAATTTTGTATTATACTTTTGCTGATATAAATGTCTCTGTTTGAAGAACCCATATGTAAATTAACAAAATTATCACTATGTTATGGGAGAGCTTTCATATTTATAAATTTATGAAGTTATATCAGTAGTCCTACTGGCTCTTCTTTTTTCTATTTTTCTCGTCTGTTTATGTGTAAAGCAAATACGAATATTATGAAAAAAAAATAGGCCTAGGCCTAAAATAATTAAAATATACCCCTGAATAAACGGTATAAATTACAAAAGACTTTCAGCTCTGAGCGCTATAACAATAGATAAAAGGCTGGTATTGATAAATTTAAAAAGTGAGATATAAAACCTAATACGTTAAGTTGAAAAAGCTATATTCCGAAGGACATCTTAGATCAGAAAGATATAAGCTTTTTATGAATACGATGAAATGATTAAGTGTTGGAAACTATTGATCTGATATCTTACTGACAAAGGCCCGGCATGGCTAGGTGGTTAAGGCACTCGACTCGCAATCTGAGGGTCGCGGGTTCGAATCCCCGTCACACCAAACATGCTCGCCCTTTCAGCCGTGGGGGCGTTATAATGTGACGGTCAATCCCACTATTCCTTGGTAAAAAGAGTAGCCCAAGAGTTGGCGGTGGGTGGTGATGACTAGCTGCCTTCCCTCTAGTCTTACACTGCTAAATTAGGGACGGCTAGCGCAGATAGCCCTCGTGTAGCTTTGCGCGAAATTCAAAACAAACAAACAATCATCATCTCCTGACTGATTTGAGGTCTAATCACAGTCTTGGAGTCAAAAGGTCAGACCCTTTCGTTTGATGTATTTGACTACGCTCAAGGTCTCACAGAGTAATTTATTATAATCCTGCCTAAAATAATTTCAATTTTAGGTTAGGCTGGTATAGGTCCTGATGAGTAATAGAATCGAATCGGGTATACGTGCGCCTCGCTCTTGATAATTCTGGTGCACAAAAATATAGCTAATAAAAAGAAAAAAAGGGTCTCATAAATTAGTTTATTTTATTCCTGCCTAAAATAATTTCAAGTGCCGCGGCTATTGAAGATTCCCTATTGTTCAGAGAATTGAAGGTTAGCTTGAATGATAAGTGAAGGTATAATTGCATTTTCTTTAACTGTTTAATATCTAAAACCTTTTGAAAACCTAATAAAATGCACACAAACATATCTGTGACAATTTAATGTTTTAACCTTCACTGCTATTATAAACTTAAATGTAAAAAAAAAAAACAAGTTTATTATTTCACTGTATTTTCATGACTTACAAAATATTAGTGATGAACTGGTTTCTTTGGATTTGTTGTCATTAAAATACTTCGGCTAATTACTTCAACACAGTTATGGTCTGCAAGTTCTTGAACGATTATACCTCTCTGTTCCACGTGTTATAACATGACACATTGTTCGGTGAGTCTGAGAATAGCAAATCCATCGAAACGTTTGATTAAAAATATACGGAGTGCGGGAAGGGAAATGCAGGACTAGCATATTATGTCATGCCCTCGACTAATTATCTCGTGGTCTCAATATAATAGCTAATGAGTAGGTCCACCGAGAGGTGGGGAGGGGTAGCCGGGATAGTTACCCCGGGGCTCGTAAAAATGGGCTAGTCCTCGAGAGATCACCATAATGACATGGGAACATATCATGCTGGGGATTATACTTCAAGTTTACTCAGGAGCGCATTTTGGCTCTCGATGGTCCTCCTCGTGAGTACAAGATAACAAGTCATGTGCACGAGATAATATCTGTCTCCTGCATATCCCTTCCCAGGCTCCGTACAAACCTGCTGCTCAACGGTTCAATTAATTTCCCGAAGTGGGTCGGACCGGTACGAGGGTGTACTGTACGTTAAGATTAGTGACACATTTTTTTATTTTTATCTGTCCTTCCTTTGCTCTTCTCTTACACAAATACACTCAAACGTTCTCGCTGGAGTATTTTGACTCCGATTTTTTGTTTGCGATTATAAAAGTTTCCTCAGACGCGGAATTCAGATTTTGCAAACATGTCTCCCCTCGGGGTTACTGCGCAAATCTGATTAATTCTCGACTTATTAACTGATCGTCACATTAAAGACTAAGTATCTGATGTACAGAAGGAAAAAAAAGGGTGTTTTTTTTTGTTTTATCACTTCGTTCCAGCACAGGGGCTGGCGGGCTATTAGAGAATTGAGCCTGTATTCAGCCGAGAGCCCCAATGAGACTCGTGAACTGTAGTACATAATACACGTGTAAGAGGATCAAATAGTACATGAAGACAGATTTGTGGATGAAGTTGTGATTTGTTGCTGAAGTTTATTCGTGTGTCAGTGACAGAATAAGATGATAAAGTTTGAAATAAAAGAATCATTTAGCTATCCGGATAAATATAACTGAGTAAATTTGGCATTGGAAGATCCACATAATTAAGATCACCGACTAGAAGTGACATAACATAAAAGTGCCGGATTACGATATTCCGAGACCCTAAGCTATGTCAAGTTTAAAATGACCCATACGATAAAAAAATGAAATGGAGTCATTTTCTTTTTTAGAGGCGACTAAGAGGCCTCATACACTGTGACGCGCTAAGCATTAGCTTATACCTTAATCCGGTACTGTAGTTAATCGTAGGACATGTTTTTCCAAAATTTGAAGACGGCTATAAAAAACAGTAAACGAAAAAACCCAGGTTGTATGCAATGCATAGTCGGACAAAAGACTTAAGTGTGTAAAAGGAAGGGGAAATTAATTCAATAAACTTTACAAAGCTGAATATATATATATATTGTTACGACAGCGGAAGTAACGCGACGCTGGGAGCATGCGCACTGCAGTTCTTAGAAGGATCGGGGAACCCACGAATGTCCCAGCGTTTGGTAGACACCCTCTTT